CCTTACGTAGTTCAGGCTTAGGCCCCTCCTCAGCAGATGTCTCTGACTGACGATCGGTAGCCTCCTCCTCCTCCTCAGCATCCTCCTCCTCCTCATCAGGCTCCACCTCCACAACGTGAGCCCTGCGTCTGCGGACAGGCCCTCCTCGAGCTCCTCGAAAAGGCCTAGATGGCCCGGCTCCTCAAGAAGGCCGAGATGGCCCCGCCCCCTGAAAAGGCCCGGGTGACCCAACTCCCTGAAAAGGTCCAGATGGCCCAGCTCCCCAAGGAGGCCCAGGTGGCCTGGCCTGCAGCTGACCGGACCATGAAGGCATCTGAAAACAAAAAGATCAATTCAAATGCATCAGTCCAGATATATACATCAGATGCAGATACAAGCAAAGGCTATGTGAAGTGGGTGCATGTAAATACAGTGTACAAGTGGGGTGTGTGTCAGATGTGCTCTACACAAGTAGTCTATCGATGCAGTAGAAATCAGCATGTCATCAGAAGTATGATAAATGCCAGAAAACTGAAAGGTACCTGAATGCCCGCGACAGACAACTGTGCCTCCCTACGCAGGACCATGCCCTCGAGTGTGGCCACCAGTCCAACCACCTCCTCCATGTACCCTCGCGATGGCTGCAAATATGAGCTCATAATCATCAGTGAACAAAAGAATGTCTAAACATCTGAATGATGAATGAAAAATAGTGGAGCATACCAGCGGTGAATCAGGATCAATGGCATATCGATCACTGGGCATCGGAGGCTCTAGCGGGATCGGAGTCGGAGAAATAGCCCCATACTGCCACGCCATCAACTCAGTCGGCATGTCTGGCCATCCAGGATGAGGATAAGTCGACGGAACCGGAGGAACCGGTCTACTCCCACCTCTAGATGTACCAGCCCTACTAGTGGAAGGGGCGTCTGCAGCCCGAGCCCGAGCCTGGCCCGAGGATGACATACCGGCAGGCCTCATCATCGGGGTGCGAGCTCCCGTCAATGGAGGCATCAAATATATGTGACGGTAAGTGGCGTAGTCCCCCTCCTCAAGATATAGTAAAGCATCGCTACCCAGCATAGCGCCGACTACCTCCGAGTAAGAGAGCCTGTCAGCAGTCCGCATACTGATTGGGGGTACTGCGGGAGGATCCTGAGAAAGATACCCCCATACCTGGCGCAGAAAGCGTTCCCCCAGGAACCATGCCCTGCCAACCGGCCCTTCGAGCAGGAACCTGTACAGGGAGGTGCCCGATCCTCCGGGATACTGAAATCGGAGACCATCGCCCAGGGGCGCCCAAGGCTGCCATGAGATCTGCAGATGATAAATGCATAAACTAATCAGAAATCGGAAATATACAGAGCAAATCAAAGATGAAAATGAAAGGAACTGAAAGTTCTGAAGTACCTCCGAATGCCGCACACTGTCAAAGTACTGTCGCAGGTAAATGAGGGTCTCTCGGGGTCTCGGCCGGTGCGGGCCCTCGAACACTAGTGAGTATGGGGTCATGGGAATCCCTGCCACCTCCAACTCTGGGGCCAATGCTGGGAAGTATACATAGACCCATAGCTGAGAAAAGCAGTGCAGAATGTAAGTACGAAATGCTGACAACAGAATACAGAATGTAAAGTGCTATGCGTGTGCAATGTACAAGTAATGAAGAGCAGAAATGTAAATCAAGGGGACAGAAAAAGTACCTCCCAGGCTCTCCAGTAGCCGCCAAGTAAAGGGTAGCCAGGCCGGCGCCACCCCAGTCATATCGACTGACCTGTGATAGGTCAACCAGAGCGCTCAGCAGGTATAGCCCGACTGTGTTCCCTCTATCGGCGAACAGGGTAGTCCCGAAGAGGAACATAAGGAAACCACGGGCGTACTGCTCCGTCTCCTCAGGAGTCTCGGGCACCATCTCCGCCCGTCGGAAGTGGGAAGAGAACCAAGTGTATCGAACTCTCCCAGAAACCCTGTCAACAGGCGGGCGAGCCCCCAATAGATACATCCAAGCGGCCTCCCACTCGCCCATATCCTCATCATAGGGGATGGGCCAACCTCCTATGTCCAAACCAGTCAACACAGCAAAGTCTAGGGGCGTCATGGTCATGTCCCCGGTAGCAGAGAAATGAAAGGAGTTGGTGGTGTCCCACCATCTCTCTACCAAGGCTGCCATCAGAGTCCTCCTGGCAGAGCAACGGGACAACCCAACGCAGAAGGGCCCGAACCCTGCCAAGTCTACCAAGTCTTGAACAGCCTCCGGGAGCTCAGCGTACCAGTCCCGTGCGGCAGTGGAACCATACCCCCGTACACTACGGGAACTAACCTGCATTCAGAATGAATACATGTGTCAATAATGAGATGAAATGGGCCGTGTGCCAATAAAATGAACTGGGCTGTGTGCCAATGGAATGAAATAGGCTGTGTGCCGATGAAGTGAAATAAGCTACATGTTGTATTTAATCTGGGCTGCGTGTTCAGAAAATTTGAAGTTTGGGCTGCGTGTTCAACTTTCAACTAGTGTGGGCTGCGTGTTCACTATCAATCTGGGCTGCGTGTTCAGAAAATTCAAAGTTTGGGCTGCGTGTTCAACTTTCAACTAGTGTGGGCTGCGTGTTCACTATCAATCTGGGCTGCGTGTTCAGAAAATTCAAAGTTTGGGCTGCGTGTTCAACTTTCAACTAGTGTGGGCTGCGTGTTCACTATCAATCTGGGCTGCGTGTTCAGAAAATTCAAAGTTTGGGCTGCGTGTTCAACTTTCAACTAGTGTGGGCTGCGTGTTCACTATCAATCTGGGCTGCGTGTTCAGAAAATTCAAAGTTTGGGCTGCGTGTTCAACTTTCAACTAGTGTGGGCTGCGTGTTCACTATCAATCTGGGCTGCGTGTTCAGAAAATTCAAAGTTTGGGCTGCGTGTTCAACTTTCAACTAGTGTGGGCTGCGTGTTCACTATCAATCTGGGCTGCGTGTTCAGAAAATTCAAAGTTTGGGCTGCGTGTTCAACTTTCAACTAGTGTGGGCTGCGTGTTCACTATCAATCTGGGCTGCGTGTTCAGAAAATTCAAAGTTTGGGCTGCGTGTTCAACTTTCAACTAGTGTGGGCTGCGTGTTCACTATCAATCTGGGCTGCGTGTTCAGAAAATTCAAAGTTTGGGCTGCGTGTTCAACTTTCAACTAGTGTGGGCTGCGTGTTCACTATCAATCTGGGCTGCGTGTTCAGAAAATTCAAAGTTTGGGCTGCGTGTTCAACTTTCAACTAGTGTGGGCTGCGTGTTCACTATCAATCTGGGCTGCGTGTTCAGAAAATTCAAAGTTTGGGCTGCGTGTTCAACTTTCAACTAGTGTGGGCTGCGTGTTCACTATTCTAATCTGGGCTGCGTGTAGTGTCCAGGTTTGTTGCATTCATAGCAGGTTACTTCAGATTTTTTGTGATTTTCTCCTCTTTGAAAATCAATTTTCTGAGCACGCAGCCCAGATTAGAATAGTGAACACGTAGCCCACACTGATTGAAAGTTGAACACGCAGCCCAAACTTCAAATTTTCTGAGCACGCAGCCCAGATTAGAATAGTGAACACGTAGCCCACACTGATTGAAAGTTGAACACGCAGCCCAAACTTCAAATTTTCTGAGCACGCAGCCCAGATTAGAATAGTGAACACGTAGCCCACACTGATTGAAAGTTGAACACGCAGCCCAAACTTCAAATTTTCTGAGCACGCAGCCCAGATTAGAATAGTGAACACGTAGCCCACACTGATTGAAAGTTGAACACGCAGCCCAAACTTCAAATTTTTCTGAACACGCAGCCCAGATTAAAAATTTAAGTTTGGGCTGCGTGTTCAACTTTCAATCAATGTGGGCTGTGTGTTCACTTTTAATCTAGGCTGCGTGTTCAGAAAATCAAAGTTTGGGCTGCGTGTTCAACTTTCAATCAATGTGGGCTATGTGTTCACTTTCAAATTTGGGCTGTGTGTTCGACAAATCAGTGTTTGAGCCGTGTGTTCACCTCTTAACTAATGTGTACTGTGCGTTCGCAATTAATTAATGAGCCGAGTGTTCAGAAATTCGAATGTTTAAACTACATGTTCAAGATGCAAGCAAAGCACTATGTCATAAGCTAAACTGCGTGTTCAAGCATGGCAAAGGTGCGAGATGTACAAAAAATGCAGAAAATGAAGTAAATACCTCTCGGGCCTCATGAGAGAGGTGATGCTCTGGCTCTCGGAGAAGCAGATCCCTGGGTGCTCGCTCGTCAAAGCTAGTGAAGTGACGGAAAACAGCACGCGGAAGGACATATGCTGGCGGATTGTACCTCCCGGGAATAAAAGGTCGGGTCCTCGGGGGCAAAGTCATGGGATCAAAATCGTCTCCGGCACCTGGAAAGCCAAGTCAACAAAAGTCAACTCTCGGGAAATGAAAAAGTCAACAAAGAAAATGAGCCAAAATTGGAAAAAGTCAACAAAAGTCAACTCTCGGGAAATGAAAAAGTCATCAAAAGTCAACTCTCGAGAAAATCTTCCAAATATCGAGACAAACTCACCTCAAGTGGCGAAAATGAGAAAAGAAGCTCCGAAACCAAAATTTAATCAGTACAAGGTGCTTGAAACTGAATATTTTTGCGAAAACAACTTGCGTGGGGCGTTGGAAAACGCGTATGGAACTCAGATCTGGAGAAGAAAGTGTTGTAGGAGGCAAGAAAGGAAGAGATCTCGGCTGCATTATATAGGCTCCAAGTCATGGGATGATAGAGCATGAAAAGGAAGGTGAAAGGACCAAAATGCCCTCGGATTTGGGCAAATGGCCGGCCGACCACCTTTTCTAGCCGGCCAGCCATTTCCTTTTTGGAAAACCGGCCGGCCAGCTATTTGCTTTTTGGAAAACCGGTTGGCCACCTCCCCCTTCCCATATAACCGGCCGGCCATGTCCCTCACAGGCTCACCTAGCTCCCTGCAAATTTTGAGGAAGATCGGAGTTCCCGGGACCTGAAAAAGTTTAAGAAAAGTACACTTACTTCCGGTCGCGAAATAGCTCCGCCGGGACTTCAGCTTCAAGTTCTGACATATGTCTCATCATCATTCATCGAAATCGAAGTATATCCTTTTTGAATGAGTTGTAGCCTTTCCGGGAAGCGGATCGGAGGCCGTGATTCGAGTTACCTTTGCCGGAACACGCATTTCCGTGCTCATTATTTCACGACAGACGGGCACCCTGATTTATGCTCGTTT